ATAAGGAATTATGGGGAGCTCTATATTGCTAATAAGAAATTGAAGACTATTGCCTCCTTCTGCAACCTGCTTTTGATCCTTTATGGTGATGTTTCCATTATTGATCAACTGTGGGGCATGGAAGAGGTGAGAAGTATTTTCTTTGACACGCGCGCACACACACTAGTTTCCATTCACCAAACTAAAATTCCTCATAAAAGATGCGCCTGCAAGAAAGAAAGCGTATGCCTATACATTCCCCTTCTTTTGCCCACAAGGCAAATCGCAGGTTAAAGTTTCATCAGAAACAGACCCTTCTGAGGATGTTGCTCTCCTGTGTCCCTTGCGGCTCTTTTACTGGTCCCTCCTACTGAACCCTAAAGCTGGCGCTGAGGGGAGGGCTTCCGATGACTGCAATGCTGAACGGGCAGTGTGCGCTTGTGCACACTGGCCCATGCGCCATTTGTCTTACGAGCATGCCACAAACCCGCCGAAAATCTTACGATTTTCGGTTGGTTTTCCAACATGCTCGTAAGACAAACGACGTGCGACCATACAATAGAAACGGACGCACGCCTTCCATACACCTGCCGATTATCGTACAATAATCGGCAGGTGTATGGCCACCTTTAGTCACTTCTGCATCTTGTAGGGATCAGTGGTAGAAACCAGTGAGGGCCATGGGTGACAAAGGAGATCAACACTCCTGGAAGTGTTGCTTTTAGAACCAACACTTCCAGGAGTGCTTTGTCTTTAGTGGGGCGGAAGGCAGGCGGCAGGAAAGGCCAGTGTATACTTTTTACTTGACATGAACATCTTTTACGGGGATTGTAAGTTGTGGCAAGATCACTTTAAAGGAGAACTATGAGGTGAGTGCTTTTCACTCACCTCATAGTTCTAGCCGACCTGTGACAATGAGACTGTCACAGGTCGGCTCAGTAGATCGGGAAGTGAGCGAACACATAACGGCGTTCGCTCACTTCTCGATCCTGTCACCGCTCTCTGCCGTGACAGGGGAGGTGCTGGATTCCCCGCTCCGATCCGCCGGCGCTGACTGGGGAGGGGGCGGGTACAGCTGGCTCTGCCTTTAGATAGGCAGAGCCAGCTGTCACTCACGCAGCTGGGCGGATCCAGACATAATTGTCGGGATCCGCTTCATCTGCGGCATCTCAGTATACCGCGAGCAGCAGCTCGCACTATAGTGCGGCGTCTCAGTATATAGGGAGCTTTAGCTTGCGGTATACTGAGCTTAGGGTGACGGGAGGACGCTAGTTTGTATCCTCCTGTTACCCTAAGGAGAACTATGGGGAAAAGCCCTGACCCCATAGTTCTCCTTTAAAGGGAAACCATTATGATCTTAGTGTCCACTGTTCAGTCTGTCTTTCTTGTTGAACAGGAGGGTTACTTTGTTCAAACTCAAAATAGAAAGATGTTGTCACTGTCTAGTGGACATGTGACCCCCTGATGAGTTGAATGCAGCCCTCTGCAATGGTGCTCCTATAGAAAATTACTGAATGAGTCTCCTGATGAATTGGCTTTCTTTTTAGGGTAAGGCTGCCATGTTGACTAGGAGTCCTTAAATTCGTGCACATCAGCAGCATTCACAATTCTCTCGTCTGCCATCCCAGCTTGAGAGCTGGAGACCCGTCATCCCTCCATAACACTCTGCAGATTTTTTTGTTGATTCATTTTATTTTCTTTGCATGAAAACTCATAGCTGCATTATTTTTAAGTCCCTCCTGAGACATATTGCTGACACGGCATCCAGACTAAGGGCTGGAGTAGTAACCATCTTCTGTATGATATTGTAGACAGTACCACAACCTGGACTGGAAGTAGAACAGCAGCTTACACACCCAATATGTCTCACCACCAGAACGGACATCTTCAGCACCATCCACCCATGCCCCATCCCGGACATTACTGTAAGTTTCTTTTCCAATCCTGTTTTAATACATTGCTCAGTTCCATCCATGTCTTTCTTCCTTATAGGGCTCTTCGCTATAGTCTGTCAGTTCTAAGCTTGGCAACAGTTGTATAACCGTTCAGTTGACCGATGTCCATCTGTAGTCTGTTATAGTTTGCATGAACAAAGGCAATGACCTTTGGGGAATGGGGGCCACCTGAGAGCATTTCTTTAAAGGGCAATGCCTCCCAAAACTGATGGATCCAAGCACAACTAAAAATCATAATTTGCTGCTCAGAAGGGTTTTCAGGTGCAAGAAGCTTTTGGGTTGCTCAGCCCTTCTTGATCCATACAAATTCGGATGTGGGCGAACCTTTTAAAGGATAGATGTCGGTAGGAAAATGTTATGACAATGTGTGTGTCTTCCAGCACACACTACGAGATGCTTCTTATGTACTTTTATTTCTTTTGGAAATATCGGATACCCATGGAATAGGGATGCACCAATACCGTTTTTTTTTAGTATCAAGTGCGAGTACTGATAGTTATATTTCGCTACTTGCCAATGCCGGTACTTCCGGTAGCATGGAGCCGTCTTCCCATGCAAGCCGGGCAGCGTGTCCTTACCCGCTGCCCAGCTTCCTGTTTGGTTGGGAAGCCGGCTCCATGCTGATTGGCCAGGATGCTGGCTTCCCGGACAATCCGCATTGAGCTGGACAAACCGCATGGAGCCGGCTTCCCGGTCCAATCAGAAAGCTGAGCCATGAGTCATTACTCGCGCCCCGGCTTCCTGATTGGCCGGGACAATGTCTTCATGTTCCTTCGCAGCACTGCTGGTCAGAGGAAATCTTCCTCTGACCGGAAGTTCCGGTATCGGGATAAGTATCGAAGCATTTGGGCGATTACTCGTACTCGCCCAAATACTCTGTGTCGGCACCAATACTAGTATCGGTGCATCCCTACCGTGGAACCCAGGCGTGTAGCAATGTGGCAATCCCAGCTTGGGGGGTGAAATTATCTGGAATGCGCTCTCTGCTCCCTATCCTGCAATGCACACAAGTCTGAGATCTGCTTACCATCATTTAATGGTCTCCTCTCTTCCCAAGTCAGAATTGGGATGAGTGTGTGCAAGCAGGATGGGAGGTTCCTGGCCATGCCAGATAATCTTCCAGAATAAAGGTAGATTGGTCAACGTTTTGGGTTCTGTTTTTACAATAGTGCCTCGATAACCTGCCTAGACGGCGTGACAGTCCCTCCTGATAATTCCCCACATCTAGGTATAGGATGGTGTCTGAGCATAGCTGGGTGAGTGACGTCTATATCCTCCCAGCCAGACCTCTAGTTCGACAGTGTTTCGGCCTGGCGCTTGTCCTCTCGGGCCCAAGCACTGTCACATGGGGAAAGTCACATGCTCCCCAGTATCTGGTAACCTGGCCCTGACAGAACGATTAGGCTGGGAGCACAAGGAGTATAAAATCAGTCAGTGTATCTTGGTGGGGTTCAGTAGGGTAGGTGGGCTGTCGGCAGACTATATGGGCAAAGTGACATAGTCTCTTTGAAATATTTAAGGAGAGCAAAGTTGTAAAGCAAATCAGTTCTGAAGCTTTTAATTTTCCTGAAAGGAAAACAGATTTGTTCTGTTTACAGCTCACACATTCACAGTGTTTGATACAAAAGTGTGGATTTGATGGAGTAGAGGCAGTTCACTTTGAATGTTGGTGGATAAGTTGAAGCTGTGATCATTATGAATCATGTGCTAGCACAAATCCTGTTTTTAATGTGTCTCGCACAGGACTGACTAAAGTGAACCCGAATTCACCTTATTCCCCCAACATTCGACGTTCACTTTGTGGTGAACAGCCTCTACTCTTAGTAAATCAACCCTGATATGTCTGCCCAACAACATTCAACCCTGTTATGTCTGCCCCACACTCGTCAACCCTGTTATGTCTGCCCCACACTCGTCAACCCTGTTATGTCTGCCTGCCCGCCCAGCACTCGTCAACCCTGTTATGTCTGCCTGCCCGCCCAGCACTCGTCAACCCTGTTATGTCTGCCTGCCCGCCCAGCACTCGTCAACCCTGTTATGTCACCGCTCTCGTCCACCCTGGTATGTCTGCCTGCCCGCCCGCCCAGCACTCGTCAACCCTGGTATGTCTGCCTGCCCGCCCGCCCAGCACTCGTCAACCCTGGTATAAATTTTGTAAAAGCTGAAGAAAACAGGGACTGTTCCTGGCAACCTTTTGGTTCTAAAGCGGAAGCAGACATTTGGTTGTTGCCAGCACAATCCTTTTTTTTTTTTGAAGGAATTATGAAGAATCTGTTGTTTTTCAGTCCCCAAGATTGTCGTAATATGGGAACAGCAATTTTATTTTCTATCTCCCTATCTCACTTATTCTTATCTAATGTATGTTCTCACATTTTTTTCTACATTGATGTAATTTGGTTTTAAAGCATGATAGTCTATAAGATCAATACAAAGTGATTTAAGAAGTGAGAATTTTGTTTTGCAGGGCCTGTTCACAATGAACTCTCATTCCAGCCTCCAATTTCCAATCACCCAGGTGAGTATGAATATGCATTTGGCAATAAATCTTAAGCAAGCTTTCCTCAATTATTGTGCAGTCAGCATCTTAAAACCCACAAGATGCCATAGTAGTAGTTTGTTTTGGTGTTAAAGTGTTGCTGAAGTTTAACTAAATGTACTGCAGTTATTCTAATTCTTTTAGCAAGCATAGCATACAATTCCTTCAGGGAGATAAAAGAACCACCACATTGTCTTTGTGCCAACTTTGTAAGCGGGGGTTCCAGTGTCTCTTTTAATTGTGGAAGCGGACTATACCATAAAGAGGGTTGATACTTAAAGGAGAACTATGAGATGAATGATTTCCACTCACGTCATAGTTCTAAGCCGACCTGTGACAATGAGACTGTCGCAGGTCGGCTCAGTAGATCGGGAGGTGAGGGAAAACATACCGGGTTCCCTCACCTCTCGATCCTGTCACGGCTCTCTGCCGTGACAGGGGGAGGGGCTGGATTCCCCTCTCCCCGCTCCGATCTGCCGGCGCTGACTGGCGGAACGGACGGGGGAGGGGGCGGGTACAGCTGGCTCTGCCTCTAGATAGGCAGAGCCAGCTGTCACTCACGCAGCTGGGCGGATCCCGTCATCTAAGTCGGGATCCGCTCCAGGTGCGGCGTCTCAGTATACCGCGAGCTGTAGCTCGCGGTATACTGAGCTTAGGGTGACGGGAGGACGCTAGTTTGTGTCCTCCCGTTACCCCAAGGAGAACTATGGGGAAAAACACTGACCCCATAGTTCTCCTTTTAAGCTGGGGGTGTTCGCAGAAAGTACTTGGTAAATATAGTATAAAAAAACAAAACAAAACTACATATATTACTACATAATATTAAAGCCAAACCTTGTTTTTCAGGAAGATGTAGAGTTTTCTATGTCTGTCTTGGTTGGATTGCATACAAGGAAAGATTTGTAGATGTAGATGTTTTTATGTTTTGGGGAAAAAACTGGGTATAGTAAAACTGTTAATACTTTTATTTCTGTGTTTCATACTGTAATTGTCTAAAGCAAAACAGAGGCACACTGACCTCTACAGATTGCAGTGGCCTCAATATGTCATGGGCCATTGCTGTCAGTTTCTGACAGTGATCACATGACTGGGAACCTCTTTGATTGATTGGTCCTGATCATTGTTGGGGGTAGAAGCTGTCAGTAACAGCTGAGATTGAGAGCAACTGCACAACATGCTGGTAGCTGTCAAAGGGATGACTTAAATGACTGCATCCCCTGCACAAGGAGCAATTATCTACAGATACAGGAAGAGATGTCTGATTATTAATTTGTTTTTCTTTTTCCAACAGCCCCGGAGTACTGGTGCTCTATTGCTTACTTTGAAATGGATGTTCAAGTGGGGGAGACCTTTAAAGTCCCTTCAAACTGTCCCATTGTCACTGTCGATGGTTATGTAGACCCATCTGGTGGTGATCGCTTCTGCTTAGGTCAGCTGTCCAATGTACATAGAACAGAAGCTATTGAAAGAGCAAGGTAAGATATGCACTGGAGGGCAGAGCAGACACCACAGCCTCAATGTTTTATAAATGCTTTATCAGACCGTGGAGCACTGCAGTTCTCATATGAAGGCTAAAGGTGGCCATACACTCTACAACCATCGCAAGACTTTAGTCTTGCGATGGTTGTAAAGGGATTAAAAAAACGTACGATCTGCCTATCTTGGACAGGCAGATCGCACTCTCGATCATCGCAAGCCCGCCCTCCTGAGGGGCGGGCTTCCGATGACCGCAATGCTGAACGGGCAGTGTGTGCGTGCGCACACCGGCCCGTTCAGCATTTATCTTCCGAGCACCGTTCTAACCAGCCGAGAATCCCGGCTGGTTTTCGAACATGCTGGTTCGACAGAAGACGTGCGACCGTACAGTAGAAACGGTCGCACGTCTCCGTTCACACTGCTCGATTATCGTACGAAAACCCGATCGCATACGATTATCGTACGATAATCGTGCAGTGTATGGGCACCTTTACTGTTTATATTGGGGCACACCCACAAACACTACATATCCTTAGTATGTAGTACATGGATTTTCAGTTTACTTGTAAAATGTTTCCCAACCACATACAAGCCCATACAGTCTTTTTGTTCACGCTCTCTGTCTTTAGTGTTCAGCACTTCTGCATTTCAGCACAGGGGTCCTCAGTTTGAATCCCAGCCAGGATGCTATCTGCATGGAGTTTGCAGGTGCATAAGTGGATTTCCTTTAGGTACTCTGGTTTCCTCCCACACTGCAAGGACATGCCGGTAGTTCAATTGGATCCTGTCTAAAGTGGCCCTAGGATGTGTGTGTGTGCATGGAGGTGTCCGTGTTAGATAGGGACATTATTATTATTATTATTCAGGATTTATATAGCGCCAACAGTTTGCGAAGCGCTTTACAATATAAGGAAGACATTACAACCACAATACAATTCAAGACAAGATAGTAAGGAGGCGTCTGCCCGTGAGGGCTTACAATCTAATAGGGAGGGGGAAGTGATAAATGAGGTGGTAGCTGTGTGGGGATGAATTGTTTGAGAACGTGATGGTTGAGTGGTTGGTTGAGGTGGGATAGGCTTCCCTGATGAGATGAATCTTAAGGGATCGCCTAAAGACAGAGTGGTAGATAGACAGGTTGGGGTAAAGAGTTCCAGAGGATGGGAAAGACTAGAGAGGTCCTGGAGGTGAGCATTGGAGGAGTTGACGAGGGAGCTGGAAAGCAGGAGGTCTTTGGAAGAGCGCAGGGGACGGCTAGGGTGATGCTTGAGACCAGGTTTCAGATACAGAGTTGTGGATGGCTTTGTAAGTGGTTGTTAATATTTTAACTTTTATCCTTAGTGCACTGGCTTTCAACTGCCCAATGTAAATTTCTGGGTAAATACCTGTAATTAATAAATAAATGTTCTATCCTCTACTGGTAGTTGACGCACGCAAACTGAATCCCTGAGTAGTGTCCCAATGAGTGTGACTGAAGTACGTGTCTCTATTTTGCTCCCATGATAACTCCTATCATGTCCTTAAAGTCGAGGTGGTGTAGTTTTTAGGATTTTCACTTTTTCAGCTTTTTGTTCGTTGTACCAAGTGCGGTAACCCAAAACTTGCTAGCACAGTCTTGCCCTTATCTAAATTAAAGACCTTTTGAGTTTTATCAGCTCCAGTGTCCTTGTTATGTATGCGATGCTTTTCTGCATGTTCCATGTTTGTGTGGCGCTGAGAGTTCTCTTCTCTCTCAGGTTACATATAGGTAAAGGAGTGCAGCTGGAGTGTAAAGGCGAAGGTGACGTGTGGGTGCGCTGTCTTAGTGATCATGCCGTGTTCGTACAGAGCTATTACCTGGACAGAGAAGCAGGGCGCGCTCCTGGGGACGCCGTTCACAAAATTTATCCAAGTGCTTATATTAAGGTAATTCTACAATGAAATGTTTCCTTTCAATATGTATTTCATATATTTCTCAAAATGAAGACCCTCTGTACACTGGCGTCAGAAGAAGGTGCTAAGTGCAGGTCTTAAAGGTTTATTAAACCCTCAGCGTTTATTTTGCATGGATCTACTGCTAGCAAGCTGTAGATCTATGCAAAAATATTAACAACAAACTTTTTCAAGCAGGTTAAAACTTACCTGTGTCGGGGCGTGGCTTGGCTATGGCGGCGTAAGGAAGCACATTGCTTGAGCTCTGCTATCACCTGGGACTTTTCATTTAACCACGGCATCCCAAAACCTCGTTTTTGATGTCTCAGAAGACCAAACCCCGATTTAACAACGACAGAAGCTCTCAGACATCCTTACAGCGATTTCTCTCCACACCTGCCGCCTCTACTCGCAGCTACTCCAAGGGGCAAATGGCCCCCGAGATGCAAGGTACGGCTTCGCAGCCTACTACTCCTCCTCAACCCCGGGAACCCCCGGCCTTGCCGTCCGCCCCTGATCCCAACGACCTCGAACTCCAGAGAGAGGCCACCTCTACACGCTGCTCCAGCCCCATCGAAGAACCTCGTCTCCCACTCACGACGACGCCGTCGCAATCTCCCTCGCTATCCACTAGCGAAATCTCCGCTATCTTGCTCTCCCTCCCCACGCGGCAGGACATGGCCGCCATAGTCTCGCAAATGGAGACCGCGCTGAAGAGGCACATAGCCGGCATCCACGCATCCGTCTCTCACCTGAAATCATCTGTCGTCGCCTTGTCCAACGATCAGGCGACTCTGCCCCGGCCGATTGATCGCCTGGAATCGGGTTCGGCCTCGTATGAACGGCGCCTCTCCGACCTACAGCTCCAGCAGGACTACCTCGAAAACAGGTCCCGTCGAAAAACAATATCAAGCTACGCGGACTGCCGGAAGCCACGACCTCGTCCGGCCTTCGCCCCACTGTGACCGCCACCCTCAACTCGATCGTGGACAAGGCCCCGGAGTCCCCATTGGAGATATACCGGGTGCACCGCGTGGGGATCCCAAGACCGGACGGAGATATGCGGCCCAGAGATGTCCTATGCCGCGTGCATTTTTTTGCGGAGAAGGAAACCATCATGCGCAAGGCCTGGCTGAAGGGTTCAGTCCCCTTTGACGGCGCAGATGTCTCAGTTCTGCCAGATCTGTCCCGCCGCACCCTCCATATGCGGAGGATCCTCCAGCCTCTCCTCGCGGTGATACGTAGGGCCGGAGCCCTGTACACTTGGGGCTACCCCTTCAGCCTCAACGTCCGTCGGAACAACCGGACCTTCAATCTCTGCCACCCACTACAACTGGCCGACTTGTTCTCCTTCCTGGACTCCCAACCCGTGGATGTGCCAGACTGGCTGAAACCCGACCTGGACCCCGAACCTCGCCCCGTACCCCTACGTAGACGACGCCGGAGCTCCTCCCGAGGCAGGCCCAGACCGACCCATCCTGCTCCGACCATCAATGAACCCTGACTTCCCGATGATTGAAGGGTGTGGGATCGTCCCCCGTCCAACGTCTCCCTGGAGTGGACTTCCAGATCGTATATCAGCAGGTACCGGACAGCTACCCTCACACGCTCTTTGACCCCCTAGTCGTTCCAACCGACACCCTCTAACTAGAGAGGTCTCTCACGTCTTGGATGTGAGCCGCCCCCCTCACAGTCTGAACCCACCCGCGGTGGCGTCCGGCCCTATCCCGTGCATCCCGATACGGCTGCTCACCATCCTACCTTGGGCCCTGTTCCGGGATGCATCCCACAACCCCGGCTCGCCTGACTTAGGCCCCACGGCCTACCTTCCCCCCTCGTCACGCGCTGCATCGGGAGACTCGCTGAACCGTGCCATCGGGGAACACGCGATTGCAAGACTGGAGACGTTTCTACCTGTTACCCTTCAGAGGGTGGCTGTTCCCTGTCCTACGTGGGGGCGACCTGGCTCTCCACCCTGATCTCCCTCTCCCTGGCTGTCGGCCCGGGGACCCCTTGGGATCCCTCAATGTTGTATCTTTTGAGACGTTATTCCCTTTTTTTTGTTACCCCCCCCGTACCCCTCCTGACCCCACAACCCCTCTTTTCTCCATCTCTACCCTCTTCCCCTTTTCCCCCACTGTCATACCCTCCTACAGACCGCTGTGGTAATACCGCGACCTGACCTGTGGGCCTCGGCTCCCCTGCTCCTGACCGGGTAATCACCCTAGATTCTTTCATGCAACGAGACCCGACAGCAGGGGCCCCGAATCACCGCACCCATGTCATCAGGATCTAGGCCGCGACACTTGCCTTTTCTATTGCTACATATTTGTTTCACCCTTTGTTTTCCGTTTCTGTCCATGATTGATGTCTATATTGAGCTAGTAATGACATGTATGTACTTCATATTTGGACACCCCTTTGAAAAACCCGTTTGTATACGTGGAAAAAATGTTTTCTTCAATAAATAAAGAATTTATAAAAAAAAAAAAACTTACCTGTGTCTTCGCCGCGCTCCCATCCAAACATCTGAAAAATCTCGGACGGCCGCATAGAATCTTGGGGCGGGCGCATGTGCAGTTTAGATGTTCGGCCGGGAGACGAGGAGAGACACAAGGTAAGTCTATAGAGCAGCGTGCACCCGCACAGACTCCATGGGACATCAGAGGAGTCGGCGCTGGATCGGAGACCCGCACCAGCGCTGGAGGGACAGCTAAAAACTACAGGAAAGAAGATGATCGGATTAAGAGGCATCATTTAAAGGGGTTCTAAACCCTCAGCCTTTTTTTTTTTTGCATATATCTACTGCTAGCAAGCAGTAGATAATATGCAAAAGGTTTTTTTAAAAACCCAATTTAACCGGTTTAAACTTACCGCTGTCTTCCCTGCGCACTCCTGTCCGAAACTGTGAAACTGCACGGGCGGCAGCAAAGCACCTTGGGGCGGGCGCATGCGCAGTTCACATTTTTGGCCGGGACGCGAGGAAAGACACAAGGTAAGTCTATGGACGTGTGCACCCGCATGCAGACAACATGGGAGAGTACGTGCCAGCAAGCTCAGAGGAGTCAGCGCTGGATCGGAGATTCGCCGCAGCGCTGGAGAGAAGGCTGAAAATTACAGGAAAGAAGATCGGGTTAAGACATCATTTAGGGTAAGTGCTTCAACGTTGGTTTGAGGGGAAAAAATATTTGCCTTTTTAATGTCACTTTAAGTCCTTACACCAGCATGGGGGTGGGGGGCATTTTATCCATTAATGTCACTTAAAGATTGTCAAGTGCTCCCCAGATGCCCGTGCCTAAAGTGTATGTCTTGGCAAAAGAAACAAAAAGTACATTGCTGGAATACATTTTTTTTTTTTTTTAATGATATCCAAAATGTATGTGATTTTTGTCCTGCTTCCAGTGAGCTCCTAACATCCTCGTGTGTTCTGACAACGCTGCTGCACTGAAATCTTAAAATCAGTTGCTGAAGAGTTATGCGCACTCAAGTTTTCTGTTATTTTTGTCTTATTTCTTGTTTGTATCACAATAAAAAATGTTTTGCATCTATAACGTGGTAGGCATGTTGCGTAAATCCAATGATTCAAACCCACCCAAAAAATCCATTTGAATTCTAAGTGGTAATGCAACAAAGGGGAGGGAGAAGGAAAGGGATGGGGGCAGGTGGGGTTCTTTAGTCCGGATAGCTAGGAGCAGTGTATAACTGATATGAATGCATCAGATTCTGAGGACACAGGGCGTTTTCAGCTCACTGGATTTCTGGCGGGATATTACATTAAAGATATAACAAAACTATTTAAGTGTTATATTTAACAGAACAAAAGGGAGAAAATAGTTAATTGTTCCAGTTTACATTCACTTTAACTGGGATTTTGTTCGATTGCTGACACATTTCTTTTCTTCTGGCCTCTAGTATGGTCTTTGTGGCCTTATTATGAACACTGCCGGGAGGAAGGTTTGCTTGTAGCCATAGTTGCTGATCATATTTCTCTGGATCGTTTTGCCCAAGTATAATATAAAGGAGGATATTTCCTTCGCTCCAGTTTTATATAAATGGGCCGTGGATTATGAATACCTTTTTTACGATCTCTTTTCCCGGTCTCTAGGTGTTTGATCTGCGTCAGTGTCATCGACAGATGCAACAGCAAGCAGCCACAGCTCAGGCCGCAGCAGCAGCACAGGCCGCAGCCGTAGCTGGTAACATACCCGGGCCAGGGTCTGTTGGTGGCATTGCACCAGCCATAAGTAAGTGAATTACATGTACCAGTTATTTGTACATGTTTATTATGCGTTGTTTTACATCTTATAGAAGATTGAAATGCATTCCCAGTGGCAGTTAGGTTTGTACAGAACAAGGCTAGACTAACTCCGGCCCTCCAGCTGTGGGGCAACTGCAAATTCTATTGGACATTACAAGAATCTGACAGCCACAGGCATGACTCTCAGGGGCAGGATGATGGTATTTGTAGTTTCACCACAGCTGGAGGGGAGGGAGGGTAGTTTGCCCCTTGTATAGAACAAGCATGAATTTGCTCTCCAGTATCCGTTATGGTGGCGTTTAGAGGATTTCCTTAACTGGGGAGAGTTGGAGAGTTACAGATCTTGTGTTAGAAGAGAACTAAACCCAAACCATTCCTTTTGGCTTTAGTCTCAAAAGAGTAAATTTACTAATGTCCTCCTGTGACCCAAAGTCAGCATCCAGTGGGCTACTGGCCCCTATTTGCAGAGCCGCGCCGAAGCTGGGAAGGATCCCAACAGTTGTTGGGATCCACCCCGCTGCCTGATTGACAGCTGGCTCTGCCTCTCTAGAGCAAGCTGTGCCCACTTCCTCCCCTATGTGTCCCCTCAATGAGCACTGGAGGAACGGAGTGGGGAGGGGACAATCCCTGCAGGGAGCGGTGACTGACACTCACTCACTACACTATGCAGGGAGAAGACCGTGAGCTGATCAGTGGTTCGTGATCACTCTGCTCTCGATCTAAAGAGCCAGTATGTGACACCTGCAGTGTACCACACCAGCTCCAAGTGTTGGGAAGAGTACATTTTACTCTCCCAATACTTCTCCTTCCTGTAGTATAAAGATGAAAAATAAGATATTAAATTGGGTACGCGGGGGGGTTGGGTGCATTTTGTTCTTTCTGGAGCTTATTTTACATCCAGAACACCACAAAAAGCCACCGCTTCCAAGTGCACAGTCTGCCCATATCTGTGGGCACAGGTCTTCTTGATTGCAAAATGGGGCTGTGCTGTGTGACAGGGCTGTGTATATCTTAAGATTGGATGGAGAGACATACAAATTCCTTTGGCAGGTAGAAAGCCTTCTATATATGCATTTCATCCATGCATTTAGCTGTTTGCCTGGAGATCAGTTTTATATGGTACACCAGGCCTAGAGACAACAGTCGCATGGAATCCTATGACAAGAGGTTGCTGTGGCTTATGAAGAAAGTGATGATTGTAACTCCCTGGATAGCACTTGCATTGTATCATCTTTGCTGGTCGCCTTCGGCTGCTGTCTTTTGTCTTTGAAGTAGAAAATTAACTCCTTCCTGTGCACAAATAGCTGATGAGTTTTCTCCTTTCCCAGGTCTATCCGCAGCAGCGGGAATCGGTGTCGATGACCTCCGTAGGCTGTGCATTCTGCGGATGAGCTTTGTGAAGGGCTGGGGTCCTGATTACCCGAGGCAGAGTATAAAGGAGACCCCATGCTGGATCGAGATTCACTAATATATATAAATAGATATATATATATATAAAAAAATATGCACATAACTTCTCCCTCTTACTCCAGGTCAGGGTAGATTCAGACTTTTATTTGGGGCCCTGAGAGTTACATTTCTCGAATTAATTTTTCACACTTGATTTGGCCTGATATAATGAATTATTATTTTTTTATGAACTGTTGAGTATCATTGACATCTGAACTGGCCACATAACCAACTTTGCTGTTTCTGGGGAGCGACCCTTTTTGTAGGGAAGGAAAGGGGGCAGCAGGGTTAGAATCAGACACACGTGGAAGAGTTAAAAAAAAAAAAACCTGCGACCTGCCTACAATCGCACCTTAGCATGTGCGTAGGCTCCGGGGAACGTCTGCTCTTATGGTAGAATAAGTGCTTTGCCTGCACAGTAGAGAAGCCGGGCAATTTTTTCCCCCCTAGAACACCAGAATGCATGTTAATGGTGAAGTTTAATCTGCTTATATTTTGCCTTCCCTGGTTCCTCTCTAATCAAAATGCTAATTAATTTTTTTTTTTTAAATAAAACTTTTCCACTTTCATTTCATACCTTATTTTAGACCCAGTGATGTCCTCAATAGGTCATTGTATTTCTCTATGCCGTGCAGGCAGATTATGGCTGGTAGTAGAGGGCGACAGGGTGCTGTATATAGCTTCTTGAAAACATGACAGCATCTTGCCTCAGTACTCCTCTCAGAACCCTCAGCCCTAATACAAGCAGTGGGCTGGATCTTGGGAGGAGTTTTGCAAATATCAAAATTCCATGATGGGTGGTTGGGAGGAGTCGGCGTTCCTAGGACGGCCGTGCTTAAATACAGACCATCGTAGGTAATGCTCATATGTGAAGCTGAGCCTCTATGATTGAAAGAATCAATACATGAAAAAGGTCAGGACTAGATGATGCTGGACGTCCTCCAGCCAGGAAATGAGTTGGGCTTTATCTGACTTGCTGCAGCTTCTAATGCACATTGTGAGAAGCTCTGTGTGCAGTGAAATTAGAGTAGAGGAGCCGGTACAACTGTGCAAGACTGAAGGGAAGGCCGGAGTTCAGCTTTAACTGCTCTACAGCAAATGGCTGCAGTTAAGAGTGGCCCTTCATTTCACAGCGATACTTTGCATCTTTAGATCTCTTACCACGATGGTTTGTGAATTAAATATTCATGAGCTGCAGATAGCAGCAGTTTAATTTTTCACTTGCAAGTCAGAGTGAGCCTGGTGGAAGGCTGCAGTGTAACCCTGCACTGCAAGACCAGCAGAGAAAGACGAGGTGCAGATAGGTTTATACAGAATCTGACTGACGCATGCTTTATAGGGAAATATGCTGAAGTCAGTTGGTGGTGTTTTAAAAAAAGAAAAAATCTTGGGGGGTTTTTTTTTTTTCCCCCGTCTGACTTTTTTGCATAAGGAATCCTGGTGCCAATTACAGGTAGTTGTATAGCGCCGGCAATGTGCACAGCGCTACAGTGCACATTGACATCAGTCTCCGCCCTCAAGGAGCTTACAGTCTAAGGTCCCTATTGCAGGCACATACAGGAGTCAATTAACCTTCCATCATGTATGTGGAGCGTGGGAGGAAACCAGAGTACCCGGAGTTCAAGCACAGGGAGAACATGCAAACTCTTTGCAGATAGTGTCCTGACCAGGATTTGAACCAGGGACCCCCAAGGCAGAATTGCTAACCACTAAGACACTGTGCTGACCCATTTAATGGCTGCAACACGATAGTTCACCTTTGTTGTAGAATGTTACATGCATTCCAACACCCCCCAGTAGATGAAACCTTTTTTTTTTTTTTTTTAAATAAGGTTCTTTTCATCGTTGGGCTAACTTTACTTTAGGCCATAGCTGTAAAAAAATAAGTCAAGGCAACTGGACTTGCTGTATTTTTCTTGAAGACTTTTCACTGGCCATCCGACCAGCTTTCTCAATTCAGAATGACTTGTACAAAAATTCTCTGGGTTACATAAATGGCCTCTTTCACACCTCTTTTGAACCAGTCCTCCTCCCTGACTAGGATGTGTACTTGACTGTCTTCAAAGGAGCAACCTTTTTCCTTTTAGATGTAGGTACGCTGCCCAATCCTGACCAGAGGGTTTGGCTCTTCTATGCTGTGCCATAGGCTGGTGCAGCTGATGTTTTGTTTCACCGACATACAATTCTGAGAGCTCCTCACTGCACTGGACTGCATACACAATGTTGTTCATCTTGTGTTTTGGCGTTGTGTCTTTTGGGTGAACCAGTTGTTGCCTTGCTGTATTGCTGGGTTTAAAGCAGACAGGGATGTGATGTTTTTTTTTTTTTAAAACCCTTCTGAGTTTTTGTAAAGGTGAACTATCAATTTTTAAAGTGGAACTAAACCTTTCTTTACAGTCGAACAGCGACATCGTAGCCCGTTTAGAATCTGCGTTCGGCCATGGTGCTTGCACTTGTGATCCGCTATGACATCAGCCATTTCCGTGCCTTGGTTGGGAGCGGACAGAACCGCACTGGTATCTGTGACGGTTATCACCAGAGGCCTTGAATGTTACCGTTTTGGGTGGTGGGTTGACTTCCGCTTTAATCACTTATCTGAACGGCTTTGCACTGCTTCAGTAACTCCCAAATGTGCACTGTCCATGACAGTTACAAAATGAGCCTTGCCAAGGGGTTTGCAAAATGAGAGCGTGGTGTACTGATCACAGGGAAAACCTGTCTGCAGTTGGTTTAAAAAATGCAGTAGGCAGATTGTATTATTGATGTGAGATAAATGGAGATATCCATGACAGATGGTGACAGGAAATAGATTAGATTGGGGAAAGCTGTAGTGTGTTGATGTCACATTTATTACAGACATGCAAAAGGCATTTATGCTTTGAGGCCCATTCACCCCGGATCCGTTGCATCGTGATATGTTTACCAATGGATGCTAACGGAAGGGCACCGTAAAATGAATGGGGCTAGCTCACACCACTCTGTTGGGCTGGAAAAAAAAAAGTAGAACATTAGTTTTATTCCAATTTCCTTCTCATCCGTTGCAATCTGTTTTTCAACGGATGCCAATGGAAGGGCGCCGAAAGAGGAATGGGGCTCGTTTATACCGGAAAGATATGGCAGTGTTATGCAACGGATCTGGTGTGGACTAGCCCCATTCACACCCATTCATTATTCCATGCCCTTCCGTTTGCATCCGTTGAAAAACGCATTGCAACAGATCAGAAGGAAATTGGAAGGTACAGTTGCAAGTCTACAGACTCCATTGGCCTGCGATTTCCTTCTGATTTTGGTGTGAATGGGCCCTTCAATCTTAAGTTTTTTTTTGTTGGTGTTCAACATGTACTTTCACAGAACTTGAGAGGTATATAGCTCTGTAATGGAAAAAGACTGTTTAAAGATTGGACAGACTGTGGTAGAACACTACATAACTAATACTTATTGTAGTGAGCTAATAAGTGCATAGTTCACATAGTATATTGGGCTCAGCCATTGTAAAAGATGGAAGGGGTGGATGAATGGTTCATAGTATATTGGACTCGGCCATTGTAAAGGATAGAAGGGGGTGGATGAAGGAATGGTTCATAGTATATTGGACTCGGGCATTGTAAAGGATAGAAGGGGGTGGATGAAGGAATGGTTCATAGTATATTGGACTCGGGCATTGTAAAGGATAGAGTGGATGAATGAAGTGTTTACACTATATTGGACTTGGCCATTCTATTGTAAAGGATAGAAGGTGGTGGATGAAGGAATGGTTCATAGTATATTGGACTCGGGCCATTGGAAGGGGTGGGTGGATGAATGAAGTGTTTACACTATATTGGACTTGGCCATTCTAAAGATGGAATGGGTGGATGAATTTATGGTTCATAGTATATTGGACTCGGGCCATTGGAAGGGGTGGGTGGGTGGATGAATGAATGGTTCATAGTATATTGGACTCGGCCATTGTAAAGGATAGAAGGGGGTGGATGAAGGAATGGTTCATAGTATATTGGACTCGGGCATTGTAAAGGATAGAAGGTGGTGGATGAAGGAATGGTTCATAGTATATTGGACTCGGGCATTGTAAAGGATAGAAGGTGGTGGATGAAGGAATGGTTCATAGTATATTGGACTCGGGCCATTGGAAGGGGTGGGTGGATGAATGAAGTGTTTACACTATATTGGACTTGGCCATTCTAAAGATGGAATGGGTGGATGAATTTATGGTTCATAGTATATTGGACTCGGGCCATTGGAAGGGGTGGGTGGGTGGATGAATGAATGGTTCATAGTATATTGGACTCGGCCATTGTAAAGGATGGAATGGGTGGATACATAAATGGAGAACCTTTTTGGGTTCTGCCCATCTTGATTTGGCTATCTTGATGTAACACACGCATGGGAGTTCATTCATCCAACACATACTGAAATTATACACCAAGGCAGGCAGCCTTGGCACTCCAATCCCGGTGACACTACAAATGCCATCTTGCCTGTGTCTGTCTGTCTTGCTGGAGGTAATGCTGGAATGCCAAGGTTGCCTACCGCTGTTGTACACTGAGCCGCGCATGCTCAACCAAGTGTCAAGAAGTTTGCCAAAAGACAGTAAAGAATCCTTTATAGCAGAAGAGACGCATGGCACGTTACATTCATCATTTGTATCCCATGCATTGTTTGGATCATTTTTCAGCCATTTGTTTAAAAAGAAGACGAGGGAAATTGTTTCACCATCTTTGCCGCCTTGAAGTTATATATTATCTCCACGAATCCTATAGAATAAAATTTGCTACACACTGTGCAATAATTTTAGCTTTAAGTATTTTGAAGGTTTGCATATCCCCTCCCATTCTTCAGTCCCTTACCAAAGCCTACAGCCAAGCCTGGAGGAGAAATGGTGAGCCCCTTTAAGATATTTTCTTTTCTTTTTGTTCTCTGAACAAATAAAGGTGTTCGATCATGTGACTCCTGTTTTCACTGCATACAAATAGTACAAATGTATCCCTTTTTTTGCAGACTGTAATATTTCTCATTGTA